TTATATCCATATCCTCACACCCTCATTCTCACCCGAAACGAAAAAAACGACGTTTCTATGTATAAAAAAAAATTTTAACGCGTAAAAACGTCGTTCTTTTTCGTTGCTTATCTGTCGGAGTAACATTCTTTTCGATATGTATATATCTCGCGCAAACACGTCGTACATACGTTTCATTTTTCTTTTTCTTTCGTATCATTTTAACAAAAAAAACAATACAAAACAAAATGAATGATGATGAAATAATCATACGAGCAATCAATATAATTGATCAGAAGATCGACAGTTTGGATGTTGACAAAGAAAATCCTTATTATGTTAATAAATTGATGGTTATTCGAGAGGATCTTGAAAAACTATTCAGTTTAACATCATCAACAAATAATTTAGTTCATCTGTTTTGTCGACGAATGAATAAACTATTAAATTATAACGATTCCATTCCACTTCACAACTGGCTTGAATTACAAAAGGAACTTCTTCACATATTAGAACATCATGATGATCCAACTGAAAAGCTTACTTACATAAAATTTTCATCAATATTGAAATTAGAAAGTAAATTGGAAGAACGAGAAATACAATTCAAGAAGAATTTTGGTCATCGAAAGACATTTCATGAATTAGTTGAACAGCATCGAATTTTACTTCGAGAATATCTTCAAATATGTTACTCACTTCATTCTAAACTTAAAATACATGGTCTGGTCGAAGATGTCGACAAACTTTGTCAAAAAATGCATCAACAAACAGATATCTTGCAAGCTGTTCTTGAAACTAATGATCGTCTTCAGGCAAAATTAAAATCGATTGAAATTCCTATAACATATCCTTTTCATACAATGAAACATTGTATGCTAAGGTCTTTCTTAGATTTTCAATCGCGTGATCAAATGATTGATAATAATAATGTCTTTTTGCCTGGTATGGATGAGATTCAATTGATGCATGATAGCGGAATATCAATCATTCATAACAACATGGCAGAGTCTCGATGGTTTGTCATTCTTGGTGATCCAGGAAGTGCAAAAACAACTTTACTAAGATATATTACACAATTATTCTCTTTAACAGCTCTTCAACATAATGAACAAGTTATAAACAATAGAAATAATTGGGGTCCAATTCGTATTCCAATTTTAATTCGAATCGGTGAGTTTGCTGATCAACTTAATATTCAACCAAATTTGACTTTATTTGATTATATTGGTAAACAAACTTGGTTTTCACAATTTTATGGTAATGATAATATTGGATATGTACTAAAAGAGTTTATTCATCATGGTCATACATTGATTCTTCTCGATGGACTTGATGAAATTTCTACATTTGAACAACGACAACAAATCATTAATCTTGTTCAAGATTTTATTCATAATTATATTCATGGTGATGATTTTCTCTCACCATTTGATGATGTTCCAAATCAGTTCAATAAAGAAAATCGACAACGTCTGTTGTCGAACGAAACGATTTCAATGAATAATTGGAGATTCAATGAAACACAACCACCATCGATGTCCGGTGGTAATCAAATTATTATAACAAGTCGCGTCGTTGGCTGCAATTTATATCGATTTGATAGTCAATTAATTTCTTATTATAATTTACTTCCTATGTCGATCGAAAATGTAAAGTTATTCATAGAACAATGGTTTACTAGTGTTGATCAGGAAATACACAATATATTAATGAGTGAAAACATTCATTTAGACAATAAAACAATAGAAGAACGACAAAATACTATAAATCGGATACTTCCTACTGGTGAAACAACCTTCTTATCTCATCCATTAATGTTATCTATGGTTTGTTTATATTTGTTTAAATTATGGAATGATAACCAACTTCCAAAAACTCTTGCAGAATTGTACAATGAAACTGTACGATCAGTAATGTATAACAAGAAGAATCTACAACAATCAAGAATACCACAAGATGTTCTGATCAAGGTTGAGACTAATCTTGCTTTATATCTTCATTCACATTTATCATCTGGTGTAATTGATGAATTCGATTTAAAACGTATTTGTAGTTTAGTATTAAAAGAAGAAAATGTTGTCACAAACAAAGCAGAATTATGTCAATACATAGATGAATTAATACAAATGATCAGTTCAAATAATAGTATTATTGTTGAACGAGGATTGAAGGTTTTCAGCTTTGCTCATTTATCATTTCAAGAATATTTCGTTGGATTATCTCTTCTTGATGAATCATCTATTGACAATACGATTCGACGTATTCTAACTTATACTATCAAACCACGCTCTCATGAACCAATTCGTCTAGCTCATAGTTGGATTAGTCAAATGTGGCCACGGGAGAATTATGTTACATATTGCAGAAAATTAGTTACGGAAACAATAGATTCCGTACTTCCATTAGGTTCTCTTCTGCTTTTGGATGTTCTTCATAGTTTTCATTGTTTACCTTCCAAAGCAGCCATATATACAGCACTTGATAAATTAATCGATCATCCTTCTATGTTAATTTCCACTGGATATTTAGGAAAAGGTTGGTCTATATTACCATTGAATATTCTATTTGAGTGGATGAAATTAAGTTTAATAAATGAAAAACGTGTGGTAAAATTCTGTAATTCATTTTTATTTTCAATTGTTTTAATCGAATATCGAAGTTTATGGGAAAACAATCACGATAGGTTACGAGCTGTTTGCCAACAATTGTGGTCATTGTGTTCTATGAGTTCGTCAATTGATACTATTATCACTAAAACATTGCATGGTATTACGACATCATTATATTCACCATGTCTTCTTTTTCAAAATGGACTACCTCAATATCTTATGTCACCTAATATTTTTGCATCTCAAAAGCATCCATTAGTATTCAGTGTTATTATTACATTGTATGGTGGAGTTTTTAAGAAAAAAGATGAAATGATTTTTTCTCCCAAATATATCAATCGCAATTCAAGAGTTGGTACGCCAGTCATCGATTATTTAGCGAATACAAATGACTCTCATTTAATTAAAATTGAAAGACTCATTCAACAATACGAAAATATGTTGCAAATGTATTCACCTGAAGATATTTCAAACGATGTTATCGATATTATCATTGTTCTTATTTGTTTGCACGGCTTATCAAACCCGTCAATATACAGTAAATTCGCTGTATATCAGGCACTACCGTTGGCTTTGGAAAGATTCAATTTGATGTTATATCTTTTAAGAGACGATAAAAGATTTGTTTGGAACAAAACAACACAAAAAATGTTTTCCGATGTCAAATTAATTATAGACGTATTTGCTTCACAATCCAATCGGACCGATGTAGAGATTAAACGTTTTTTATTAGCGTGCATGGCAGCATGTGATCGTCTCGGTATTGATCATTTACCATATTCGTCAAGTTTAACGAATTTATTCAATAGTGATACTAATCGTTCAAACCGCTTACTAAAATATTCTCACAATAAAATACTCAACACACAAAGTACACCCGTTTGCAAAGAACCAACCTCTCAAGCAATAAAAGATGTTCATCAATTCAATGATCAGGTATTGATTTTGATGAATTTTGTACCCGATCATCTTAAACATCTATATCATCGTTTGCTTATCAAACCTGATGAACAATGCGATTCTTTCCTATTTATTCTTCTTTTATCACAATGTTTGAATTTCTTCACCGACCGTATCCAATCGAAAGAAATATTTGCAACTTTGAATGACTTATTACCAATGTTCAGAGCATACAAAATGGAAAACTATGTATTAGCTCTCTTTTGGGAAAGTAAATTTCGCTTTACGAGCGATCTGCAGAATGTTGATTATGATTATTTTCAAAAGTTTTCAACAAATTATTCGAAAAGTTGTAAGGATCTGATTATCGAAGAACAACAACGAATTTTAGAGGCAAATGAATTGAACGATGTTCGTCAAAAAGATATCCAACTTTTTGCTGCATCATTTTCGTTAGCTCGACTATGTCAAGTTCAATATCGTTATGAAAAAAATACAAGCATGGGTCAATTCGCTGCTGGCAATGAACAGATTGTATCTGCAATAGAAAATATTAATGACCAAATTCTATCTATCATAGCTATGCACAATATTTCATATATGGATTATAAATCTATTTTATCTTCGAATCCACATGCAAAATTAAGATCAAAAGTAGCTTATTCATTATTACAACTTTTACCGAATCTACCATTGCTAACATGTGCTGTAATGGTTTTTCGATGTCAATCAATCTGTGAAGATTTTCAATCAATTTTCCGAAATCTTAGTAAAATAATTGCTAAACAACTATTAACAATTCCACTAGATGAGGAAATGGTTGAAAATCAGAAAGCAGTTTATGTTGCACTTAATTCAATGGAAGATTCATCATTGAATATTCTTTTGATAGAATTTGAAAAACAATTTCAAAATGTCGACAAATTTTCTCATATGAATTCGATTATATTTCATGATTATTTCACTACTACAACATCATTCGGTGAATTAGACGAAGTTCTTTTATCGTGCATGTATTTAAGCGAACTAATACATGATGTTAAATGTTTGAGAAAATATGTGGTTTGCAATAAACAACAAAAGACGATTTCGTTGTCCGAAAGACTCAGATATTTATTAAACACTTCAAGGGAAATAATCACACTTGAAATGGCGACATTAATCACAAATTATATAGAAAAGAATTATGAAAAAGAATTAGGTGAAATAAGTGGTAGATTAATTGAACGTATAATCGTTGAAAAAGATGCTCAACCTGTTCTTCTTCAATTGTTGAATCTTCCGGCAAAAGAATCACGAAAATCTTTATTTTGTTACATTGCATTACTATTGGCTAAACATGGTTCCATCGCACCTAATTCTATCGACTATATTAAAAGCTTTTGTCAAACTACTATTGATGAGCAATTCAAGTATATTATTAAACAATATCTCGAACTACCATGTATCGATTCGGAACCAATCCGTCAGATTGTAAAGACGTTACTTCGATGTATACGTCATTCCTCATTACACATTGATGCGACTATTTGTTCTTGCGAAATTATGAAGTTAATTCTACAATTAGAAAATGAAGAACGCAGAACAAATAATGGTTGTGTATTATGCGATTCATATTTCATGTTGATCAATGGTTGTTCGTTCGAAGTACAAAATTATCTTTTAGAATATCTTGATGCGAATAGTAAAGTACAAAATAGTATTAATGAACAGCGTCTGATTCGAATTATTACATGGATTATGCAACATTTCGCAACGAAAGAATGTCCTGTATCTAATGTAATTTATAAATATATAATATCACTTTTTCACGATCAAAAATTTTCTCGAATACAAGAAACAATTATTAATAGTTTTCAATATATATTTATGAAGATGTTTGGGAAGAATATTTTTACTAATCAAGATGTAAAACGACTTTTGGAAGATACAATTAATCTGTGTGTAAAAACTATAGATGATAATTCAGAAAATCTCTTAGCAAACTGTTTACATGCTTACGGATATTGTCTACGTTTCTATAAATATTATTGCAATGAAAAGCCATCAAATGAGATGATCAAATTGTTGACCAAACTTTCTCAAACATATTCATCGTCATTCGTTGCTATAAGAGCTGGTCAATGTTTACTAATAATCGAACTGTATATTGATCGTGGTTCAATTTCTGATTGGCTCAACAAAACTAATCTGAATGTCGAGCAAATATATAACATATTCATACACTGTACATCCGATGAACATCAATTATTAGGATATTTGGACAAAGAAAAAGCATTGAATCATATTTTACTACAACATCCAACAGATCTCCTACCTAAATTTATCAATGAAATGTACATGTATTTAAATGAAAAACCTATGAACTGTAATCTTTCCAAGCGATTATTTTCCTATATCAATGCAACTGAGAATTTATGTCAAGATAATTTTACTATATTTCGTACTATTATGGAAAAATGTTTCCATAATATAGAACAATTCAAAATTTTACTCTATCAAATAAGCAAACACGGAAATAATGATATTCAAAAAGAATGTATTTTATTATATATTCATTTCGGTGAGATTACATCTGATTTTATTACTATGTTGCTAAGTAATGTTCAATATGCGATGGTTTTATCACCGCGAATAGAAGCATTAATAGCTAATAAACGAATATTATTAGATCGAGACATAATTGAACATTTACATGAAGCATTACAATCACCATCGAAAGAAAAATGTGCTCTACAATTACTGATATCTCTTGCTCAAGTTGATTTTATATCAATTTTGGAAGTATTTAAGCAAATTTCAGATATCATCAACAAACGATATTCTCTGGAGGAAAACAACTATCAAAAGGACTATGAACAGTTGATCGACGCCTTACTAAAGTTTACTTGCATTCAAGCTGGTACTCTATCTTCTGGTAGGTTACACCAACTGAAATGCATGATGCATTTTCCATTTTAACAGAAAATTTTTGCTTTTTCATCTATTTTGCCTTCAAATTATAATAAAATATACTTAGCGCATACTAAAAGGTCAATAAAACTTTCAATAACTTCCAAATAAGTATTATAAAATTACAAGTAACGTTCATCGGCATGCCGATTCACTTTGCCCTAGACTGACGGGACAGACACACAGACATAGTTACATCTAGCTATAAAGGTGCAATGACGAAGGGTGGGTGTGGGTGTGCAGTGTGTGAGGGTGTGGGTGTGACTTTGGGGTATGGGTGTTGGTAGAATATGATACCCACACCCACACCCACACCCTCAAGATGGCGAATACCGAGAGACGGTTGAAAAGCTTTATGAAGCCTTGCGATCATCATCTTAGCAAAAATGCGCCATGAAACTCTTGGTACACCTCGGGTGTGTGTGAGGGTGTGGATACAGTTATCTAATACAATCGCATCCACATCCAAACCCACACCCACGTCTGAAAGAAATTGCTGTTGAAAGCTCAAGTGTGACCCTATTTGTGTGTATCACTAGCTATGATGCTAGTGCGTGCACAGTGATGATGAACAGAGAAGATCAATTTTTTCAATTATTTTTTCCATTAAATATAAAGTGGTCGCATTTCTTCGAGAAAGAACTGAGCGAGCTCTTAGACGAGCTGTTAGCCTGTCTGTAGGGCTACGAGGGAATAAATAAAATTGTATATGAGTATATCTCATCGATTTTGTTTAATACAATGACCCCTTATATCAAAGAAATGAATAGTATATATATACCAAAAAGAAAAAGAAGGAAAAAATGTGATATATGATTACATTTTTGACTCAAAATGAAAGAGAGAAGAAAAAGGAATAATGTGATTACGTATCATATTTTTAATAAAACACGCATAGAAAGAGTGATGACTTGACTCATCGCTAACACGAGCGTCACTTGTTTACTTTGTAATAGAAGTTTATTTTGACTACCTCGATAACGCTAACAAAATCAATGTTCAATAAACAATCGAATTACATTCTTCAAGTTTGATCATTTTTATAGAAGAGTTGTTTGCACTGCTATCCACACTGATATCTTCGACTTGTTTTATACGAAAAACGGTGAATGGAACAATTAACACCTCTTCTTCGCCTGGAAATATACTTAAATTGCGAAGATCGAGACCGGTTTGGTGATTCTTTATTTCATAGACACATAAAACCGGCTGTTTGTCCTGATCGCCAGTTCGAATGAACCATTCAGCCATGTCCTTCTTCAACGATGTGGAAAGAAACGAGCGTGTCATGACGATGTCGTCGATTTTATACCTACTGAACTCCTCCTTCGAAACGCTCATGCCACGGTAGGTAGTGATGTTTGAACGGTAATAACTTTTGAAAAAAGGGTGATGAATAACGACGGCTGCAAATATATGTTCTCCAAGACCCTTCGGCGCTTCATCATCGATAAAACCAGAATGGAACAGATTTTGAGTGCTAAGAAATCGAAAATCCGAACCAATTTCAGCTAAGCCATGATTTAAAATAGTACAGAAGCCAGTTCCGCCACTCGTGTAAGCAGAGATCAGTCCCGCTGGATTTTCGCATTCGGCCACAGTTTCGATAAAATACTTGATTTCGTTTTTTGATGTCTCGCTCGAAAACGTAATTTTCTCGATATACCCAGCGGCAATTTCATCGATTAGTTTTTTGAACGCAACCTTGGTAAGCCATCGTTTCATGAGTTCCCGGTTTTCGTAGGAAATTCGGTAAGCATTTTTGTACGAATCGAGCCACTCGATTTCAGTGGTCGTCGCGACAAAATAATTTGAATCTGATTCCGTTCTTTTTTTGCCTTGGAAAAGATCTTTGATTTCATTTTTTGTCGCCACTTGCTCAGCGGTTAATCCTTGACTATTGCGAATCGTTCGAGAAGCACGATAGCGTAATAAAAATTCAACGAGTTCCGCATATCCTCTGCACGATGCAATATGTAGAACTGTATCACCCTGAGGATCAGGTTGCTCGAGAAGGGAGGGTTTGATGATTGCACGAGCTCGTGACAGATCGTTGTCCGCACATGCCGAGTAAAAAGGGCTTGGTTGCCAACCAGATGTTTCTTTCGTATTCATGTTACTAGATCAAGCAAAACAAATATCAATTAGTACTATGTTTATCTTGAGGGTGTGGGTGTGGGATGAGTAAGGGTGAAGAGACAAAGAACACTCACTCACACTCTCACTCTCAAAATGTGTTAACGTAATGCTTACCTTACTGAAAAGGCTTCATACTTATATAGAACAATAAAGAAACACTCTTTTTTTCTTTATGTGATTCTATTGAGTCAAAGATCAGGTAGAATCATTATTTAATTTTTTTTCTTAGTTTGTGTGTAAGAAACAATATCAATAATGGAGTCTTATCATCTTATCTCCTTCTACAAAGGAAAAAATCAGTTGAGTAAATCAGTGAACTTAAGAAATATTATTGGATGTGTGAAATGTCGCAAGTTTCATCATACTAATTTGCCTTATGAATTTATAGCAGCTCATTGAGCTGACAGACACTATATATTTAAAAGACCGTCCATAGGCCTTTTGTTATTAGCAAGACGTATTTGAGGGTGTGGGTGATACTCTTATCTTCAATCACACCCACCCACACCCACACCCTAACTCGAGAAAACCTATCGACAGTCAGCCATCTACTCTACCAATCTAATACTTTCAACTGCTTACAATTTTGCTTACTTGTTTTAATATTATTTCGTACAGCAGACAACGTCGCGCACGACTAAGAATAACAACGTATGTTTTTCATTTTGGCTTATTCCAACAGAAGAAAAAAAAAGACGGTTGTTTTTACTTCGATCGTCTAGTAGTCGTTCGTAATATGATACAATATTTTTTTTCAACACGTAGCGAAGAAAATATTGAAACTATGAAGTAATTTTTTTCTTTTGTGTTCTTACGTGTTACAACTACGTGCTGTTTTTCTCACTCACACACACATACTCCTTCATATAAAAGACGACATAACGGACTATATGTGCATATTTATGGATTATAACTAATATTCACTAAAAGCAAACTATTCCTATCTATATCTATCCGTTCCTATTCTTGCAGGAAAACATTAGATATGAATCACAATCGCATATAGATCAAAGAAAATCGTGAGGGTGGGCGTGGGTGTGGGTATTTGTAATGAATGAGAAGATCACATCACACCCACACATCCTTTCTGTGAGATTTTACATATATTATAATTGATGTGTTATCTTTTATGATTAATTACATCACATTAATTTCTAACAATAGAATTTGCGATTCGAACTATTAATTGACGATTTACTGTTGTCGTTTTAAATTTAGTAAAAAAAAATTCTTGTTAAATAAATAAATCTGAGTCAAGGGATTCGAAATATATCATATATTTAGATATGTAACTCACAAAGGATAACTGATTTTGATAAAAAAAATGAATTTATATATGTATGTTCCTATGTGTATTACACTTGAGATTTACACTAACAATTCATTATTAAAATATGCAAAGTATATCTAACAGAAATTTTTGTTTGATAAGTCTCTCGTTGAAATTTAATAATTAATATATACTGTTTTATTTGAAACTGACCGCTATATATTTGTGTTTTAAAATTTTTATGTTATTCGATAAAAAGTATACATGTGTTGACTATATATCAAACAATTATTACTCATATATGCTTTAAGAAGGCTTTTACATCGTAGAATAACATATAATTTAAGTCACGGATAGTTTTCACACGAAATGTTTGACGAAAAGATAAGGAAATGGGATAAATTTAATTAATAACGAATATCGATTGTTGTTTGAATTGAATTGGATGAGATTAATATTGGAAATTATAACTAGATACTCAATGTTATCGATAAATAATACTATAATTTCTATGTCTACTGCACTCAAATTTAATAGAGTGAATATTTCATTTAGTTTTAGCAATCCACTTAAAGAGTTCTCGTTGACAATTGTACATTGCTTTCTTTACAGACATATTTGTATGTGAATTTAAATGTAATTGTATAGGTTCAATTTGATTAGATAGTTTTTTTTTTTATTTTTTCCATTGACGACGATCAACAGATAAATTATCATGAGTAATTATTCGACCATTTTCACTAAGCATATGATATGGTATTAAAAAATTTGATGATAGATTAACATATTTATTCATACGAGTAAATCCACGTGCATGATCAAATGAAGTATAGTTTAATGAATATTGACGATTATGTTCAGATGTTGAAATTTCTCTATATCTTTCATTTTCTCGACGAACAAACATTAGAAATGATCGAGAATCAAGATCATGAGTAAGTAAATCAATAGATAATTCATTGGGCAAACTATTTACATGCATTATAAATTTTTTTAAAAAAGCTTTCGCGCTCTTAAATCAACATTTTGAAGTTTCGTTGTCAATTATAACTTCCACTTGTAGTATGTGATAAAACAAGTAAAATATTTAAAAAGAAAGAAAGAAAAAAAGAATAATAATGGTAACCATGAACATTACAGAGAATATAGGTGACTAATGTGTATTGTTGACAAAATTCTCTACGATCTTTCTTGTTCTTTTCTTTACCTGACAGCCTCACTCTATCTTAAAAAAGTACTTGATGGGGTGTGGGGCTTCAAATAACGTTGCAGCCGACGATTCACAACACGTCCCTAATGCTGCTGTCAAATCAACATCGTCACGATCATTACAAGAGGATCAGCGAAAACAACAAACGACAGAACGTGTTTCACCTGCGACACAAGCCTCTACAACAGGTAATCCATTATAAAGCACATTAAATATAGATATATATATATATTTTTTAAAATAGCTTCAACGTCGAATACGATGAATATTCTTATTAGTTGTCATACTAATCAACAATAGATTGCCGAACAAATAAAAGATAATTTAAGTAAACATCGTTTTACATGCTATATTATTAACGAAACAACACCGGAATCAATAGTTGCTCGT